TGTGAATGTATTACCCTTATTGCATGCAATTTAATTTACACGTTACAGTGCTGAAAGGACCCTTACTTAATTAACAAGAGGCCCTTGGGCCTTAACGGTCACCTGAGTCCTACAATATTTATTTTTGTTGTNTTTATTAAAACACTCTGGAGTTCTGCTGAATGGACAAACTCCAAACTGAACCTTCATGAATTACTTCAGATATCTCTTACAGTACTAAATATACCTACTTGTAGGACTCTAGGCTTCTACTGAAGGGTCTCTTACAGTATTTATACCTACTTGCAGGACTCTAGGCTTCTACTTCAGATGTTTCTAACAGTATTTAGACCTACTTGTAGGACTCTAGGCTTCTACTGAAGGGTCCCTTACAGTATTTATACTTACTTGTAGGACTCTAGGCTTCTACTGAAGGGTCTCTTACAGTATTTATACCTACTTGTAGGACTCCAGGCTTCTACTGAAGGGTCTCTTACAGTATATATACCTACTTGTAGGACTCTAGGCTTCTACGGAAGGGTCCCTTACAGTATATATACCTACTTGTAGGACTCTAGGCTTCTACGGAAGGGTCCCTTACAGTATTTATACCTACTTGTAGGACTCTAGGCTTCTACTGAAGGGTCCCTTACAGTATATATACCTACTTGTAGGACTCTAGGCTTCTACGGAAGGGTCCCTTACAGTATATATACCTACTTGTAGGACTCTAGGCTTCTACTGAAGGGTCCCTTACAGTATATATACCTACTTGTAGGACTCTAGGCTTCTACGGAAGGGTCCCTTACAGTATATATACCTACTTGTAGGACTCTAGGCTTCTACGGAAGGATCCCTTACAGTATATATACCTACTTGTAGGACTCTAGGCTTCTACTGAAGGGTCCCTTTTCCAACAGGGCCTGGATCCCGGCGAGAGAGTCATAGTCAAAGTCAGATAACAGGTAGCGGCCATTAATAATGTTGTACTGAGCCTCATGATATAGAAGTGTCATCACTTCCTCTGGAGCCGTGTTCCAAAACTTCAATCAAATAAAACAAAATCATTACTTGGTTGAATTGGGTGATCAGTGTGAACGGAATGCACGGGCAGACCAGAGTTCCTGTCACGTCCCAACCCAACTCCCTCCAGCCTTTCCTCTTTGGTACTCTTAGGAGTCAAGTTCAACACCTATCTACAGCAGCCCTGGTAAGTCTGTATGTAGTATACACATTGTCCATTTCTTTCATACTGGTTTTGTATAATCGCGGCTTCGTATTCAGGTCTATGTATATAGGTTCCAGTCAATGTCTCGTCAAAATGCATTCATCATATTCATTTGTGCACGTAACAAGTTATTCCTACATTAAGAAACATAATGAATCAACACAAGACCTGTTTTCTTATTTGTAAACAACAAGTAGTCTACGTACGTATATATATATAGTCCCGGGAAAACTCAGGAGGAGTTCTTTCCTTGAGGGAGAGTATGTCACCCTGGTAAAATACTAGCTGCTTCCAACTGACTCAACTAGGAAGAATTTCTCTTAAGCTCATTTGGTAGAGTGTAAGACAAGTCTCCTAGCAGAGGCATTGAAACAATAATGACCTCTGTTACATACATATATAACATTTTCTTCAACAATATAACTGTTTAACCAGCAGAAATGCATTTCATTTGAGTATGAAAGCAAAAACTGTCGTGACGTAACGCATGGTTTACTTATGGCGTCATAGATTTATCTTATTCGATGAGAGCCTTGTCACTTTGCTTCAATTAACATGGAAAATTATGGGTGCAAATTTTATTAAAATAGGGCTGTATACGTACCGCAAATGTCGTTTAAAGGACGATGCAGGGAATTTCTCTGTGTGTTAACTGTCAGTTTCTGTGTCAATACTACTGTGTAACAGGGACTTTCTCTGTGTGTTTACTGTCAATTTCTGTGTCAATACTACTGTGTGACAGAGACTTTCTCTGTGTGTTTACTGTCAGTTACTGTGTCAATACTACCGTGTAACAGGGATTTTCTCTGAGTGTTTACTGTCAGTTACTGTGTCAATACTACTGGGTACCAGGGATTTTCTCTGAGTGTTTACTGTCAGTTTATGTGTCAATACTACTGGGTACCAGGGATTTTCTCTGAGTGTTTACTGTCAGTTACTGTGTCAATACTACCGTGTAACAGGGATTTTTTTTGTGTGTTTACTGTCATTTTCTGTGTAAAACTACTGTGTAACAGGGGCTTTCTCTGTGTGTTTGCTGTCAGTTTCTGTGTCCAGCTACTGTGTAACAGGGGCTTTCTCTGTGTGTTAACTGTCAGATTCTGTGTCAATACTAATGTGTAACAGGGACTTGCTCTGTGTGTTAACTGTAAGTTTCTGTGTCAATACCAATGTGTTACAGGGATTTTCTCTGTGGGTTTACTGTCAGTTTATGTGTCAATACTACTGCGTAACAGGGACTTTCTATGTGTGTTTACTGTCGGTTTCTGTGTCAATACTACAATGTACTGTGTAACAGGGACTTGCTCTGTGTGTTAACTGTAAGTTTCTGTGTCAATACCAATGTGTAACAGGGATTTCTCTGTGTGATTACTGTCAGTTTCTCTGTCAATACCAATGTGTACCAGGGATTCCTCTCTGTGTTTACTGTCAATTTCCGTGTCAATACTACTGGGTACCAGGGATTTTCTCTGAGTGTTTACTGTCAGTTTCTCTGTCAATACCAATGTGTACCAGGGATTCCTCTCTGTGTTTACTGTCAGTTTCGGTGTCAATACTACTGGGTACCAGGGATTTTCTCTGCGTGTTTACTGTCAGTTTCTGTGTCAATACTAATGTGTAACAGGGATTTTTTCTGTGTGTTTACTGTCAGTTTCTGTGTCAATACTACTGTGTGACAGGGATTTTCTCTGTGTGTTTACTGTCAGTTTCTGTGTCAAACTACTGTGTAACAGGGATTTCTCTGTGTGTTTACTGTCAGTTTCTGTGTCAATACTACTGTGTCACAGGGACTTTCTCTGGGACTTTCTCTGTGTGTTAACTGTCAGTTTCTGTGTCAATACTACTGTGTAACAGGGATTTTCTCTGTGTGTTTACTGTCAGTTTCTGTGGTTTCTGTGGACCAGGACTACAGTCAAAAATGCAGCGAAGACATGAATCGTCTAGCTATGTGTATATACTTACTAGTTTCTCATCCTTCAGCGACAGAAAAACGTTCCTTTGAACCATAACAACAGGTTCATCTACAAAAAATCATAATATTTTACAGTAAATTATATAAAAATGTGGCTATCAGGTTATGAAAACAATCAAGCATTAAAAGCTGACAGTCAGCCAGCTAGCCCACTCCGAGTAGTTATTGTGATACTGTCAAACGGTCAGCCAGCTTGCCCACTCTGAGTAGTTATTGGGATACTGTCATACAGTCAGCCAGCTAGCCCACTCCGAGTATTTATTGTCATACTGTCATACGGTCAGCCAGCTAGCCCACTCCAAGTAGCTATTGTGATACTGTCATACAGTCAGCCAGCTAGACCACTCCGTGTAGTTATTGTGATATTGTCATACAGTTCGCCAGCTAGCCCACTCTGAGTAGTTATTGTGATACTGTCATAAAGTCAGCCAGCTAGCCCACTCCGTGTAGTTATTGTGATACTAGTACTGTCATACAGTCAGCCAGCTAGCCCACTCCGTGTAGTTATTGTGATACTGTCATACAGTCCGCCAGCTAGCCCACTCTGAGTAGTTATAGTGATAATGTCATACAGTCAGCCAGCTAGCCCACTCTGAGTAGTTATTGTGATACTGTCATACAGTCAGCCAGCTAGCCCACTCTAGTAGTTATTGTGATACTAGTACTGTCATACAGTCAGTGACACAATTAAGACACAACGAAATAACACATCACTTTATATCTCAATTATATATCATTTAAGAAAATAATTTGTGAAGGTTAATTGTGTAGCAGAACTGAACTTAGTCGATAGCCAGCGACCAGGTAGCTCAATTAAAAGGGCAACCGTCTAGATTTCGGGAAGTCCCCGATTCAAATCCTAGTCCGGCTGTTGCATTTCTCTTTCTCCTACTACAATTGTTTACAGTTAGTTCAGACTATCTATCCTGGTAGACATTTTGATAGTTTTGGAACATCATTGACATCAAGCCAGCACAATATGAATCATACACCAAGCAATCCCATGTATATATGTACACTGAACTTACCTCGGGCAATCTCATCCCTCTTGGCATCTGCATATTCCATACAAAACCTGTCCCAGAGTTGAGCAATCTCAAATGGCTGGTGGTCATCTTTCAGTCGCAATTCTGAAAATAAAATCATTTAAGAAATATAATGTTAACAGTGACCTTACATTGATCCTTGACATTTGACCTCTGACATAATCAAAGGCAATTGTTAAGTTATATTGATGCTGACCATTGAAACTTGAACTATGACACTAGGCTAATCTGAGAATACGTCTCATCATATACCATATAAGGAGTACACAAGGTGTTTGATCTAACCCAATAAGATGGATATCAAATACAATGTTTTTGCAAGGTGTTAGATCCTAGTTAGAAGGATATTAATCGTACAAGTTGTTTGATGTGACCTAATTAGAGGTATATTATTCATAACTATTTGTACAAGTGTATAACATATCTGATGACTTACCCAGTAAGGGGGACACCATCCAGAGTGAGAATATTTTATTAGCATATTCTGGTAGATTACGTGATTCCCTAATCTTCTCAAAAAGCTCTGTGACCTTGGCTTGGTGACCATTGCCTTGAAGTTCCATGTGAAGTCCCTTCTTGTCTCGCAGCCATATCACAATCTCTAGTGCTGTAACAGAAGAGATGGTACATACAGTATCAGCCATATCACAATCTCTAGTGCTGTACCAGAAGAGATGGTACATACAGTATCAGCCATATCACAATCTCTACTGCTGCAACAGAAGTTATGGTACATACAGTATCAGACATATCACAATCTCTAGTGCTGCAACAGAAGTTATGGTACATACAGTATCAGACATATCACAATATCTAGTGCTGAAACAGAAGTGATGGTACATACAGTATCAGCCATATCACAATCTCTAGTGCTGCAACAGAAGTGATTGTACATACAGTATCAGCCATATCACAATCTCTAGTGCTGTAACAGAAGTGATGGTACATACAGTATCAGCCATATCACAATCTCTAGTGCTGTAACAAAGAGATGGTACATACAGTATCAGCCATATCACAATATCTAGTGCTATAACAGAAGTGATGGTACATACAGTATCAGCCATATCACAATATCTAGCGCTGTAACAGAAGTGATGGTACATACAGTATCAGCCATATCACAATCTCTAGTGCTGCAACAGAAGTGATTGTACATACAGTATCAGCCATATCACAATCTCTAGTGCTGTAACAGATTAGATAGTAAAGGTAATAGAGCCAACGTCAGGTATAGGTTTATGGGTTGATCATTGGGGTGCTCGGCTTTGAGTAGGGATACCAAAAGGTATGCAGGACGTAGGCACACTATAAAGAAAATGGATATAATCACAACATACTTAAAAGTCACAAATAAGTGGGTTTAAAAGTTTATTTGGCTGACTAGTACTGCCTCTAATTTAAGGCTCTAGCAGGACAATTTTACAATGTTTTAGACATGATAATATAGTATATATACAGTATCAACTACGATATATCTTACATGATAGTAATGATAAAGATAATAAGTCAAACAAATTAACATTGATTTGTAAAAGTAAAAAGAAAACCTGTTTGTTGTGTATTCATTTCATTACTTTTGTATGTATACATGATGTTTTTTATTTCGAGATTTGTCACAGGTTCTACATGTGTGTGACTTTGTTGGTGTGATATGTTGTTTCTTTTTGAAGTTTTTTTTTCTTTTGTGCTGGTGTTAACGTTTGTTAGTGTAATGTTGTTTGTGTGAAGTGTTGTTTGTGTGTAGTGTTGTTTGTGTGTGTTGTTGTTGTTGTTTGTGTGTGTTGTTGTTTGTGTGTAGTGTTTAAAGATTTTGTCTGGCGACACTTGAGTAATACATATGCCACGGCACCAATCGTAAAACTAAAATTCATCATAACTCAATCAATTTTTCAAATATCAAAATTGAAATTGGTATACTCAGTGCCTGTTTATTTACGCGGAACAGGTTTGTCAATTTTTAAATGTAACATTTTCGGGTAAAAAACCTGGCAGACCTGCAAATGTTTGCCTTGTCATGGTTCGTCTAAAAACAACATCAGATAACTAGGTCCGGCCTTATTTCATAACCAAACAACTCTGGTCCAACTGGTTCAACTGTTTGAATCGCGATAGATGAAAGCAGCCCTGGTGTATAATATGAGCAACATTTCTTGTGATGTCGGTTACTTGATTCTATATTTTTTTATGATTTTTGTCTGGCGACAGTTGTTGTTGGTTGAAGACACATTAAGTATGACCCTTCCTATGTGATGCTGCATTCTCTACGTGATGTTGTTTCATAGGTACAGTATATATATCTATTACTCACTGTCAGCACCCTCTAGGTCACCATGGTCTTCGTCCTTTAGGTAGATAGGCGCCCGTACACTCTCCTCTGTTTCTGTAAGGTACTAAAACAGGGTTTGATGTTTACAACTTACAGGCTCAACACTTCCTTATCATGATCAATTAAATTGTTTACGCAAGCTACGACGTTGACCAGGTCCAGTACACTCTGCCGATTGAGCTATAAAGCTGTAAAGACCTATAATAGCTCTATTGACCTATAATAGTTCTATTGATCTAGCTATCTGAAATAGGTCTTTTGAGCTATTTTCAAGTGATTTTCTTTTTTAAGGAGATCGAAACAAAGTCGCTTTAGAAAGAAGATTTTATCATTATGTTGATAACAAAAGACATTAGAATAAGTATTCTTTTTAAAAAATAATGATGTAAAAAAATCGGAAATTTTACTTTTATGAAAAAATGAAAATAAACATCTAAATGTATGCTTTTTGTAGTCAACATTACCATAAACCTTATTGTTTTATGCGTCTTTGCTTTAATTCAATGAAAATTGAAATCTGAGAAATATAGCTCTATAGCTCAATCGGGAGAGTGTACTGGACCTGTGTTCACTTCCGTAGGATTTTTTCTTTCGGATTGAATCATGATTTCGGTTGATTTAATTTTTACATAAGTTGTGTATAGATTAAGTGAGATAAAGATGAAGAAGTATATTAAACTTAAGCGTACTTTGCTGGAAGACAAAGGGGCCTTATAATATATAGTCGAACTTGAAAAACTTTTGAAAGTGAAAGTAAAGTTACAACTCTCGGAAGTCACCTCACAGTCACGTCAATACGACCAACAAAACATAAACCTGAATATTTCCGAACCACTCAAGATAAACATTTTCGTAAATATCTCCGATCCAAACTATTTGTCACTGAAACGCTGAGTTTACATCAAGATACATAAAGTTTTACCTCTACTCCAGCCATCTTGGGTAACTTCTAATATGGAAAAAGGACGGACAGAATTCCCTAAGAATTTCAGCCACGCCCATTTTACCGCGATACCTAAAGACATCATTGAAGGCAGAAACTTGTGTTATTCAAGAACGACTGAATTAAATATTGCAAAATGTGTTTGATTATAGAAGAGACATATAAAGCCAGTATATGCGTGTCAGATTATAGTACATTTTATTATTGTAGTCTATTTTTTTTGGTTATTGAATTTTACACTATTAACGCACATGTATACGTCTCTGTGCAGATCTCCTTCACATAACACCTTTTGTTTCTTATAACATTCTATTAGACCAAAACCTTAATATTTAATAAGGAAACTTTCATTTTTGGCATGCATAACTATAAAAGTACTTACTATACAACCACGGACTTAGAATGTTATCTAAGTCCGTGATACAACTGATAACCTTATTCTACTAATAATGAAACAGTATATCTATAGATCAAGATGCTTGCAACAAACCCTATCAATTCATGCTTTAAAAAATGCTATTATAGATCACTACAGAATTCAAAAATATATTTCTATAGGCAAAGGAGTAGATACTGCTTTAAAAATGGAAAATTCTTGGAAGAAATGGAATAAATTATTAGAAATCACTCCCAATCCCTGACAAACCCAAAAAAGATAGAATACATGTGTATATTTTACCTATGTTAGTCAAATTTTGACTAAAAGAGAGAAATGTAACTCCCTGCCACTTTACTGTTGAAATTAAAATTATTATTATGTTTCAGGTTAAATAAATAGTTGCACTAATAAATGGACACACATGGACTCAACATCTTCGTCACTTTGACCGCTTGTTGTCTTCTCAGCCCCCCTCCCCTCCCCCCTCAATTTCTATTTCTGTAAAAGCTCTTTTGCTCCTTCCCTCTCCTCTCTCCCTCTCTCTAAAAAAATCATTACAAAATTTGTATTAAATGTTGGTTGAAGAATGAATGTGAAAATTAATATTGTAATTATTCTGTAATGATGAAAATGTTTCAATTTTTTTTTTATAAAAAAAAAACCCCAAAAAATAATATTATTTTTATAGACTGTATGTGTACTATCTCAGTCTTTCCAGGGATGTGTCCACTACACATCCTGGTCTTTCTAAATGGATTCTGGAGTAAATTACTCGGTCGGTTGAGCCGGAATTCCTGAAGTTAATTTGTGATCAGCTGGTAGATTTCTAGCGATAGACTAGCCCAGTGGCGGACCCAGGGTTGTTGCACTAGTTGCCCGAGCAACACCATTTTTTCTGTGTCCAAAAACAATCTGGACCAAGGTTTTTGAAGATTTTTCTGTACTTCATATGGGATTTCCTTCTAATATCAACCATCCCTTGAACTATGATTTTCTATGGCTTCCTTGAAGATCTATATATGCCTAAGGGTGTTGCCCAAAAAAGGAGTCCACTACTTATACTCTAAATTAATCCTCTTTTGTTTATATTCTAGTAGGGTCTCCAGTCAGGTCAGTGGTCAAGGCTTACCGGACTGACTCTACCTAATCTTATTGTTCTAATGTCACGGTGTGGTGATCACCGTCAGTTGGGAGAGGACTATACCATCTGTTGGAATTAGGTATATATAGGTAAATTGTTATTTTAAAGGTAACAATCTATTTCATGATAGATATACCTGTATCGGGTGAATAATAACTAATGTTAGCAAAAAGCCTAGTATATCCTTTTCATTAGGTGTTGCCCTTGTACATGTCACGGAATTGAATTGTTATCTAAGCCCGTGTACATATGTATACCAGACGTATATAACACGTGTGTTATATACGTCTCTGTGTATACGTAATAATTCACAATAAAAGACAAACAGCTAAATCATAATTCATATTTATGACAAGACAAATCAATATTTAATTGCCAAAATGCTCGCATAACCTTCACGTACATGTAAATTCGTGCGCATTATCAGCTGAATATACAGAAAAGCCCCGACCCCTCTAAACTTTAACATGTGACCATTTTAAGGGCCTGACACAAACATCAACATTTTAACCAAAAACTCTTACATTTTTACCATTTGTTTTTTTACAGAAGTTGTTAACACTCGCTCCGCTCGGCCATCATAAAATATAAATACTCTACGTTATAAGATATAACCTAGAATAATACCGCAAACTCAGAAAACTATTCTACGCCTCACTCGATCTGTTTGTAAATGGAAATAATGTCCGATAAATTCTTGCTTTCTACGCGGCTCGGCAGCGCTTGAAATAGTTAAATAAGTTACATCTTCGGAAAAAAATTCACCTCCCTCCGCTCGGCGGGGAATTATAATGGTCCCAATCTCAGAAAAAAATGAAGTTCTAATTTATTTTGCAGAAGAAGTATACTGTCATACAGAACCAACTTCGCGAGCCAAGGGTGTTCATAGGAGAGTATCGTATTGCGGAACACCCTTGGCTCGCGAAGTTGAATCTAATTTATTAGTTCTAGATAAGTGCAAAAGTCTGTCTTTTTTTTGTGAGTTTAAAATTTTGGGCAATACCAAAAATAATTCCTGCATATGTATATAGAATTAAACAAAATTATTTCTTACGGAATTAAAAATTATCTTATTTGAAATATTCCCGCCAATTAATGCAATCGAGCACGTGGCATACATTACGATTAACTCCCTTGATGAGCTCTTCTGAGTAACTATGTAGCAATGGCGGACTCTGACATGCCGAAAGCAGATGGCGACGGAAAGCAAATCAAAGAGGAGACTACACCTGAGATAGAGATTAAAGTAACTGAAGATCCTGAAGACAAAGTGCAAGAAGCAGAAAAGCTTAAAGAAAAGGCCAATGAGTTTTTCAAAAGTATACATCATATCATAATTTTGATTTCTGACTTGTCGTCTAAGTCATGTGGTTGACCGTGGAGTAATATCCGGATAAAGCATAACAATGACCTAGGCCTACTTTCATTTCACAAATCAACTATGAGCCAAATTGAGCTAGCGTCGCACTATTTATGATATAAAAATGTACGTCTGCCCATTTCAAATCTAACAATTTTCCTTAACGGTATGTGCTTTGTGAAGTAGTAAACATTAGTCTCCAACTCAAACATTGTCGTTAAAATTGTTTCATAAAAATTCCCCCCCCCCCTTCACATTCCATGATAAATAGAAATTTATTTTGTTTCATTATGATAAGTACGATCTGCTTCTGCTGTATAGAGTCCGTAAAGAATCCACAAATATGTTCTTTTGTTGTCTTGTGTTGGGGGGGGGGCAACTACAAAAAACATATTTCCCAAATTCTGCAGGGTGTTCTCACATCAGTTGTTGTATTACAACACGTGTTATGTAACAGCAGGTATATTCTTTTTTCTTCAGTTCCCAACGGGCAAGGGAACCCAATGTTTCATTACTAACTTTGTATGGAACGAATATAGTGTGGGAAAATGGGTCATTAGCCTATTACTGCTTTATATATTTACTGTTGTCTTAGTGTATTCCCCTAATACCATTCTATAAGTAACCTAACGGTAGGGTTATTCGTTCAGCGTATGCTTCCCGTTGAGTAGCAGCTATCGCCGGTGCAGTCTGTTTGTTTACATGGGTGTAAGCTTTCGAGACGACCGGATTTTGGTGAGTCGTCGGAAGACTTTCCAATCTCACTACGCATATGCCGTAGATTTTGCCAATCAGAATGGGTGTGCGGATACAGGTTACATGGGACCGGGAGGCTGGGGTATAAAAGGGGGTGCACAGGCCAATTTCGGGGACTTGCGTGGCCGGAAACCCGGCTATATCAGGAGAGGAAAACCTCTCCACCCAGGCGCTGAAAACAGTGCTACCACCCAGGCGCTGAAAACAGTGCTGCCACGTTAGGGAACGTTAAGGCTGGTTAGTTGAACGTATATCAGTGCTCTGGGAGGGGTTGGTTTTCAACGACATAATTACTTATATGCCTTATTTCACCACGTGGGGGCTGATATATGTAGGTTTACTAAACATACATTCTTTTCTACACACTGTAGGTTTTGTTCCAGTGCTACCACGTTAGGGAACGTTAGGGCTGGTTAGTTGAACATATATCAGTGTTTCGGGAGGGGTTGGTTTTTACCGTCTTAATTACCTATAGGCCTTATTTTACCATGTTGGGCCGATATCTATAGGTTTACTTAATTAACATACATGCTTTTCTACACACTGTAGGTTTGTTCTGTCTTGTAGTAGATGCGACTGTTATTAATGTACGTATTGTTTGCCGTGTTTTTAACGGCTACCTTAGCCGTGTGATATGTAATAAACATTAGTTAACTTTGAAACAAGGTGTTGATTGATTTATAACTCGGATACTCCTCCACATCTGACGGACCTGTGTCTGACTGTACAGACGGACGCAAAGGGACATTCTTGGGGATTGCCGCCGGCCAGCTTGTCGGTAGATTTGGGGAAAACATTAATAACTATACGATCACTTTCATCTACCGACGCTGGACAGGCTCTCCCCACGGACGTCCTATTACAATATATATAGTAAAATCATCACCAATTTTGCTAAAAAAAAGGGGGGGGGGAATAGTGTTGGGTTAGGTGTTGCTTTACCTAGATACTTTGTACAAATACTTTGAACAGTAACTGTTCTAAAACATTTATTTTTACAATGTCCAATTTTATATGTTGTTGTTTGTTATTCAGATGAAGACTATAACCAGGCGATTACATTCTACACACAAGCAATAGAGCTGAATCCAGATGTGGCTACCTACTACTGTAACAGGAGCTTTGCCTACCTGCGCACAGAGTGCTTTGGTTATGCCCTAAATGATGCTGGCCGAGCACTTCAGCTTGACAGGTCCTATATTAAGGTATACAGTTTCTTATTGACACAGTGTTCAATCCACGCTTTGGAATTCATTTTGTCCGATTAAAAACTATTGATGGGCTACCATAGTGCATTTAAATCTTACCACTGTTTCCCTCTGATTTTTAATACGACTTCATCACTTTCCGTATAACCAAATGTATCACCATGTCTCTTCTGTTTATTATGTTGTAGGCCTATTACCGACGAGCATCAGCCAACATGTCGCTTGGCAAATTCAAGCTAGCACTACGAGATTTAGAAACAGTGAGTGTTTTTTTGTATTTTTAAATTAATTAAGCATTGAACTGTTTTTGTATTGTATTCATGATCTATTTGAAAGACACAGCGCACATTATGATTTGTTTGCTTGCAAAGCTGTGTCATTCAAATAGATCATAAATACCATACAAAAACAGTTCAATACTTATATTTACGTTTTCTCTGCCTCTTATGTTCTTTTTTAACTTATAATTTATATTTAAAATTAAAAATGCCCGCCTTATCGACAGTCCACACAATTTCGTTCAATAGTTTGAACAGNTGAAAGTTAGATTTGAAATTGTTTCGATTTTTCCCTGGGACAAATTTTGCACATGGACAAATACAGTGAACACCGTAAATCCGACCTTGTCCTCCAAGAGGGAGTTATTTTTGGAAGTTAATTCAAACTTTTCTCTTTGCTCATTTTGTGAAGAATCCAGGCGTGAATTTATTTGTTGATTGTATGGGAACCTGACAACAGTCGGTAGATTCTATAACAGCCTCGTTATTTGACATGTCGTCGGAAACTGAGGAACCGTGGATGCGAGACGCGTGAAACTGATAGCGTTTGAAGTGAGTGATCTTGCGACGGAGCACAGTTTCGTTACAAATGTCTGAAATGTTAAATGTGTGTTGTGACTCATATCAGTAGGTCTGTAACATATGTGTCAGTAGGTCTATAGAAAATGTGTATTTCAGACATTTGTAACGAACCCCTGTTGATCAGTGCAGTGTAACAGACGATATTTCTGATAAATTGCATGAGCGTTAAATTGTTTCTATTGTCGGCATTGGTGATTTCAACCGATGTGCATTTTGTATGATATTGCAGACCTTGGTCTTGTTTTCGTTGTAATAAAAGTGTTTTTATTTTATTTTTTATTTTGCATATAAATTTACAATGACATTGTCAAATCTCACAATGCCCAGCGATATTTCAGCAACCGTCATGTTTATTTATATTGGATACTGTAGTTCCGGTCAGTGTTGTATTAATACGCTAAGAATTGTGTCTCGTGATGCATGGTAATTAAAGCCCCATCAACGATGCAGCTTTCAAAGAGGCTATATAGTGACAATGCCATGCAAATGTAAATATTCTTCTTTTAAGACATAAGGAAACAAGATAAAGAAAGTCAGGAAATAAGTAAATGATGCATTCAAATGAGTGAGTCACTGTCTTGTATTCCTCCATTTTCTTTGTTAAAGTATAAGTTAATTTCAATGTTGAGAAGTCGTTTGAATATGATATCACACATTGCTCAAGGTTGGTGCCAGAACTATTGAGACTGTTCCAACTGTTAAAAACCTAGGGGTATACTTTGACAGTTCTCTGAACATGGAGAAACAAGTGAACGCTATTGCCAAATCCTGTTACTACCAGATCAGGAACATCGGCTGTATTCGGCAGTTTCTAACTGCAGATGCATGCAAGATTTTGGTGCATTCACTTGTTACCTCTCGGTTGGATTATGGTAACGCCCTGCTCTGTGGTATATCTGACAAACTAACTAGTCGTCTGCAGAGGGTCCAGAACACTGCAGCACGGCTAGTTACTCGTACTCGAAAGAGAGAGCACATCACACCTGCGCTTTATTCGTTGCACTGGTTACCTGTACGATACAGGTCGCAGTACAAAATTCTGGTATACACATACAAGGCACTGAATGGAACAGCTCCTCAGTACCTACAGGAACTTGTTACCCTGTATCAGCCGTCAAGATCACTGCGGTCGGAGTCAGAATCTTTGTTGTGTGTCCCAAAATCTCGTACTGTGACCTACGGAAACAGATGCTTTGGGAGGGTTTCGGCTACGTTGTGGAATAGCTTACCATCTGCTATTAGGAAGTCGAATACCCTGGCCAAGTTCAAGAGGGACATAAAAACTCACCTCTTCACGTCTGCATTTTAGAATCTTTGCAAAGACGTCATGTAAATACCACCCTTTTATTTGTTCAATTATGTGCACATTGCTTGTTAAATGTATGAAAGTGATTGCAAGCCTTTGTTGTTTGTTTTCACAATTATAACCATTACTATTATCCATATGTTGTAAAGCGCCTTAGAGTAATTTTACAAATTATATAGGGCGCTATAAAAATGTTGTATATTATTATTATTATATGCATTAAGATACTGTTAACGTACAGAGAACACCTTTTTAATGAAAAAATTGCCATTTTCTAATTCTTGAAGTCATAAAATTTTGTAATTTGAACTTTGGAAAGCTATTTTCCACTAAAATTATTAATTTGTCAGATAAATTACATAATTATTATGCATTAAGCATTCTGTGGTTATATCTAGATACCCAAAGGTCAATTCAATATATGTTAAGTGTCAGTTAAACTACAGACTGATAAATAAACTTTCATGTATTGACGGTATCTGAAATATATAAACCTGATTGGTACTAAATTCTGTGATTACTTGATGTTTCCACCGCACCATAGCTTGGAGAATCAAATTATCTTATGGGGGTCACCTTGCGATTCTAGTTTGCTTTGTATTCTGTGTTCTCTGCTGAGGAAACATTGCTTCACTCGTAATCTTGGAACAGCTTCACTGTATATATTCTTTATTCTTTATTCTTTATCATGAGGCCCTGCTTGACCTTATTGCATCTATGAGCTATTATAAGTGTTAACTAATAATAGTAAAATACATTTGTTTAATGATGAAATAAAATCTTTCTTAATGGAATATTTCATTTTGTTAGGTAGTGAAGGTCCGACCTAACAACAAAGATGCAAGAGCGAAGTTCAATGAATGCCAGAAGATAGTACGGATGATGGCCTTCCAGAAGGCCATATCAGTAGAGGACAGCAAGTCTGTGGCAGAGCAGATTGATCTAGCTGCAATGAGTAAGAATAAGCAGATGATGTGTATACTCATCAGTGTAGGGAACAAGGTCTTTATTTAGTGTCTACTTTATCATCTGTTGTGTAAGTCGATAGATTTTATATGAATATTGGCAGATACAAAAGTTACAGCATGTGACATTGGTCTCACTTTGGTATGCCCATCAAAACATGTATCAGATACAGCTTGCCACCTGTAATCAAGCAGTACACCGATACCAATCATTATATTTCTGGCAATTTCGGCAGCATTGCTAGGAATAATTTCAAGGAAAATGGCATTTCAGGGAATGTAAAAACTAGAAAAATAATGGGATTCTCTTCTCTTAATGAATTTCTAGATCATATGAAATTCCTGAAACAAGTTGACAAATTTTCATTTTAGCGGGCTTCTGTTGAGTTGCCGAGCTAAAAAAGACTCGGAGACCAATTTTAAAATCCTTATATGATAAGGAAACATAAGATATTATTTGTAATTCAACAGAGAATGAATGTGTTGTTCACAATTTCTTTTTTCTCAAACCATCTTCAAGTCCTCAGCATCAACATATTGACTTCAATTTTATCATCTTCAGTGACATATCTCAATGTAATGACATCTGTTGATTGTCTTAATTCTGATGTCACTAGGGGTGTAATTACCTGTCTTAATTTTGATGTCACTAGGGGTGTAATTACCTGTCCTAATTCTGATGTCACGAGGGGTGTTATTGCCTGTCCTAATTCTGATGTCACTAGGGGTGTTTTTACCTTTCCTAATTCTGATGTCACTAGGGGTGTAATTCCCTGTGTTAATTCTGATGTCACTAGGGGGTGTTATCACCTGTCTTAATTCTGATGTCACTAGGAGTGTTATTACCTGCACTAATTCTGATGTCACTAGGGGTGTTATAACCTGTCTTAATTTTGATGTCACTAGTGGTGTTATTACCTGTCCTAATTCTGATATCACTAGGGGTGTTATTACCTGTTCTAATTCTGATGTCACTAGGGGTGTTATAACCTGTCTTAATTTTGATGTCACTAGGGGTGTAATTACCTGGCTTAATTCTGATGTCACTAGGGGTGTTATTGCCTGTGTTAATTCTGATTTCACTAGGGGTGTTATTACCTGTGTTAATTCTGATGTCACTAGTGGTGTTATTACCTGTCCTAATTCTGATTTCACTAGGGGGTTATTACCTGTCCTGATTCTGATGTCACTAGGGGGGTTATTACCTGTGTTAATTCTGATGTCACTAGTGGTGTTATTACCTGTCCTAATTCTGATGTCACTAGGGGGGTAATTACCTGTCTTAATTCTGATGTCACTAGGGGGGTTATTACCTGTGTTAATTCTGATGTCACTAGGGGTGTTATAACCTGTCTTAATTTTGATGTCACTAGTGGTGTTATTACCTGTCCTAATTCTGATTTCACTAGGGGGTTATTACCTGTCCTGATTCTGATGTCACTAGGGGGGTTATTACCTGTGTTAATTCTGATGTCACTAGGGGGTGTTATCACCTTTCTTAATTCTGATGTCACTAGGGGTGTTATAACCTGTCTTAATTTTGATGTCACTAGGGGGGTTATTACCTGTCCTTATTCTGATGTTATTAGGGGTGTAATTACCTGTCCTAATTCTGATGTCACGAGGGGTGTTATTGCCTGTCCTAATTCTGATGTCACTAGGGGTGTAATTACTTGTCTTAATCCTAATGTCACTAGGAGTGTAATTTCCTGTCCTAATTCTGATGTCACGAGGGGTGTTATTGCCTGTCCTAATTCTGATGTCACTAGGGGTGTTTTTACCTGTCTTAATTTTGATGTCACTAGGGGGGTTATTACCTGTCCTAATTCTGATGTCACTAGGGGGGTAATTACCTGTCTTAATTCTGATGTCACTAAGAGTGTAATTACCTGTCCTAATTCTGATGTCACTAGGAGTGTTATTACCTGCACTAATTCTGATGTCACTAGGGGTGTTATAACCTGTCTTAATTTTGATGTCACTAGGGGTGTTATTACCTGACTTAATTCTGATGTCACTAGGGGTGTTATTCCCTGTCCTAATTCTGATGTCACTAGGGGTGTAATTACCTGGCTTAATTCTGATGTCACTAGGGGTGTTATAACCTGTCTTAATTTTGATGTCACTAGTGGTGTTATTACCTGTCCTAATTCTGATGTCACTTGGGGTGTTATTACCTGTCCTAATTCTGATATCACTAGGGGTGTTATTACCTGTTCTAATTCTGATGTCACTAGGGGTGTTATTATCTGTCTTAATTCTGATGTCACTAGGGGGGTTATTACCTGTCCTTATTCTGATGTTATTAGGGGTGTAATTACCTGTCCTAATTCTGATGTCACTTGGGGTGTTATTACCTGTCCTAATTCTGATGTCACTCGGGGTGTTATTGCCTGTGTTAATTCTGATGTCACTAGGGGGTGTTATCACCTGTCTTAATTCTGACATCACTAAGGGTGTTATTACCTGTGTTAATTCTGATGTCACTAGTGGTGTTATTACCTGTCCTAATTCTGATGTCACTCGGGGTGTTATTGCCTGTGTTAATTCTGATGTCACTAGGGGTGTTATAACCTGTCTTAATTTTGATGTCACTAGTGGTGTTATTACCTGTCCTAATTCTGATTTCACTAGGGTGTTCTTACCTGTCCTAATTCTGATGTCACTAGGGGTGTAATTACCTGGCTTAATTCTGATGTCACTAGGGGTGTTATTCCCTGTCCTAATTCTGATGTCACTAGGGGGGTAATTACCTGTCTTAATTCTGATGTCACTAAGAGTGTAATTACCTGTCCTAATTCTGATGTCACGAGGGGTGTTATTGCCTGTCCTAATTCTGATGTCACTAGGGGTGTAATTCCCTGTGTTAATTCTGATGTCACTAGGGGTGTTATAACCTGTCTTAATTTTGATGTCACTAGGGGTGTAATTACCTGGCTTAATTCTGATGTCACTAGGGGTGTTATAACCTGTCTTAATTTTGATGTCACTAGGGGGGTTATTACCTGTCCTTATTCTGATGTTATTAGGGGTGTTATTACCTGTCCTAATTCTGCTGTCACTAGGGGTGTAATTACCTGTCTTAATTTTGATGTCACTAGGGGGGTTATTACCTGTGTTAATTCTGATGTCACTAGGGGGTGTTATCACCTTTCTTAATTCTGATGTCACTAGGGGTGTTATAACCTGTCTTAATTTTGATGTCACTAGGGGGGTTATTACCTGTGTTAATTCTGATGTCACTAGTGGTGTTATTACCTGTCCTAATTCTGATGTCACTAGGAGTGTTATTACCTGCACTAATTCTGATGTCACTAGGGGTGTTATTGCCTGTGTTAATTCTGATTTCACTAGGGGTGTTATTACCTGTCTTAATTCTGATGTCACTAAGAGTGTAATTACCTGTCCTAATTCTGATGTCACTCGGGGTGTTATTACCTGTCCTAATTCTGATGTCACGAGGGGTGTTATTACCTGTCTTAATTATGATGTCACTAGGGGTGTTATTACCTGTGTTAATTCTGATGTCACTAGTGGTGTTATTACCTGTCCTAATTCTGATTTCACTAGGGGGTTATTACCTGTCCTGATTCTGATGTCACTAGGGGGGTTATTACCTGTGTTAATTCTGATGTCACTAGTGGTGTTATTACCTGTCCTAATTCTGATTTCACTAGGGGGTTATTACCTGTCCTGATTCTGATGTCACTAGGGGTGTTATTACCTGTCCTTATTCTGATGTTATTAGGGGTGTAATTACCTGTCCTAATTCTGATGTCACTAGGGGTGTTATAACCTGTCTTAATTTTGATGTCACTAGGGGTGTTATTACCTGTCCTAATTCTGATGTCACTAGGGGTGTAATTACCTGTCTTAATTCTGATGTCACTAGGGGTGTTATTACCTGTCCTAATTCTGATGTCACTAGGGGTGTTATTACCTGTCCTAATTCTGATGTCACTAGGGGTGTAATTACCTGTGTTAATTCTGATGTCACTAGGGGTGTTATTACCTGAGGCTGTATGTAAATAATAACATTGGTATATTCACTGTACAACACCGTGGCTATGTGATAAATACATCTACATGTACCATTAAACGTGGATAAGCATTGTAATTGTTTACAGGAAAATCCTCTCAGAAGAAGTTTTAAGGTCACGTTGTACTTAACTTATGATTGTAACATAGCACTTTTATTTGTTGTCTACCAGGCATTGATGATGACTATGCTGGACCAACCTTTCAGAATGGAACAGTCACTGAGGAGTTTGTCAAAGAACTCATGGCAACATTCAAAGATCAAAAAAGTTTACATAGGAAATATGCATACCAGGTATGACAAAGAATACATTTCAAAATTTATGATAAAATATTGCTTATTGTTTTAAAATACACATGTCACACCTATTGGAAATCAATTTTGTTTCTTTTTTATCATGTTAATTGGACTATGTGTTATGAAAGACACAAACAATTTTTAAATACTAGCAGACACATTCTTCTCAGTATGTTAAATATCTAAAAAGGTGTGTTTTATTTTGTTTTGTTTTAATTGCATAATTCCAGATGTGAATATGAATAAGAGGGGGCAAAAAGTATACTGTATAGAGTTTTCATTTTTGCTATATTCACACTTTGACCAATATTCGAAAATTCTTAACTACAGCGAGATTATCTAAAATGTTAACCACTTTTTCGGACCTTATCACAACATGTTGAAAATACTTATAACCCAACGCTGTTATGCAAGCTTAAATGAACTCGAATCCGATTATCACCAGGCATCTGGGCAGTCCATGTAAAACAACATTTACATATAAGTGGCTACATTATGTGTACACATTAGGTGATTACTTGATCACAGTTTACTCCTACAAAGGTACATACTCATTTGATTTTCTTTCGAGTGAAATCACTGGTGGATGATGAAGCTTGGGATCAGGGTTTTCTAACGGTTTACCTGTATTAACAGCGAATTTAAAGCGCTATACAATACACAATTGATATTACATGGGGATGGGGTTTTAAATAGTTTAGGAATTTGCAAATAGTCATCATGATTGGCACATATACTAACAATAAAAAAAAATCATTTCATATTTCAGATAATCCTGGAGTGTAAAAAATTGTTTATGAGCCAGCCTGCATTAGTCGACATTACAGTACCAGCAGTAAGTGTCAATAAAACAATGAATGATAACTCTCCCAACTGTCAACTAAACAAATTCAAGATAAATGACCACCCATAACTTGCTCATTACATGTCTATCAAATACTGATAGTGATGATACGTGGTGAGTATTTGTTTTATTTCAATTATTGACTGCTGTATCTCCAAATGAATTAAATGAACTTTAGAGTTATTTTTAAAATAATCATTTCCATCTCTTAAACGCCAACTACAACTGCTCATATGAACGATTACCTAATCTTTTTATTTACATGTATACCTTGACAATTTTATGCTGTATGCCAGCACTAACTGTCAATTATGATGAGGATATGACTTACCTGCTAACCCTTGTTACGTTTTCAGGGAGAGAAGTTCACGATATGTGGTGACATCCATGGACAGTATTATGATTTACTTAACATATTTGACTTGAACGGACCTCCATCAGAGAAAAATCCATATGTATCCTTTTGCTGAGGAAGACATTACAGATGTCATTCCTTCTTTTTTGTGTTGCCCTGTCAAATTTGGATTGTAATGGAATGAACTATCTAGGTTATTTTAAAGTTGCGATTGGCAATCCTGTTGGCACAAAGATCACCAAATCAACTTTTTTATTCAGTGTTAAGTAGGAAAATAAAGTACATGTATTGAAAAAGAGGTAGGACACAAGTCAACTTGATGAACTAATGAGAGGAGAACTGCCAATGTACAATTGTTTGCTGAGATATTTGGAGGAAGCATGTCAATTGTCCATGCTAAAGGTCGTTGTCATTTGGTCACAGAATTTGGAAACAAATTGTATTTTACCATGATACTCCATTAATATTCCTTAACAATGTTTCCAGCTTTTCAATGGTGACTTTGTAGATCGAGGCTCCTTTTCAGTAGAATGTATTCTTCTGTTATTTAGTTATAAACTTCTTTACCCAAACCATTTCTTCATGGCCAGAGGTATGTAAGAATGATATCAACAGTTGTTTCAGTTACAAACTCTTTATAGTTAAAACACGACTTTTTTATAGTAAATGTAAATATTTTCACTGGGTAATATTTGATAAAGTATGGCCAGGTTTTAAACTTCTCAACAGTTTTGCAGTCAACATTTGTAACAAATTCACAGTCCTGTATGACACCAGAAAGTTATTAAGTAAATTTAGTTGTGTTTTGTACTGGTAATTTTTAAATTGATTCTCTTTTACTAGGTAACCATGAGAGCTTCACCATGAACCAGATGTATGGCTTCGAAGGCGAAGTCAAGTCAAAATATCCTTTGTGTGTAGTTGGCCATTACTAGCTGTTTATAAATACTAAGAATGATTGAAAAGACTGAGGTTTTGGGTCACCCGAGCTTTAGCTCACATATTTGCTTGTCTGGGTCACTGTCTCCACACTCCGTGCTAGGTCTACCCCAAAATGAAAAAGGTTTAATAAGCCCTCCCCTTGTTACTGTATATATAACCAGTGATAAGCTCATTCCTGATTATAAGCCCTCCCCTTGTTACTGTATAGATAACCAATGATAAACTCATTCCTGGTTATAAGCCCTCCCCTTGTTACTGTATAAATAACCAGTGATAAGCCCATTCCTGGTTATAAGCCCTCCCCTTGTTACTGTATAGATAACCAGTGATAAGCCCATTCCTGGAAATAAGCCCTCTCCTTGTTACTGTATAGATAACCAGTGATAAGCCAATGCCTGGTAATAAGTGTTACTGTACATATATCCAGTGAAGCCTGTGCTTGGTATTAAGTCCTCCCCTTTTTGCTGTATGTATATATATTACCAGTGATAAGCCCAATTATCTAAAAAAGATGGTTATTGAATGATGTATGACAATTTGTTGTAACAGCTTTTCCTTAACACCTCCCACATATACTGCCCAGATGGCTGAGCTGTTCACAGAGGTCTTCAACTGGCTACCCCTGTGTCACTGTATAAATAACAAAATTCTAGTAAGTTTGCAGAGGTGTTATATTGGCTACCCTTGTGTCACTGTATAAATAACAGAATTCTAGTAAGTTTACAGAGGGGTTATATTGGCTACCCCTATGTCACTGTATAAATAACAAAATTCTAGTAAGTTTGCAGAGGTGTTATATTGGCTACCCTTGTGACACTGTATAAATAGCAAAATTTTAGTAAGTTTACAGAGTTGTTATATTGGCTACCCCTGTGTCCCTGTATAAATAACAAAATTCTAGTAAGTTTACAGAAGTGTTATATTGGCTCCCCCTGTGTCACTGTATAAATAGCAAAATTCTAGTAAGTTTACAGAGGTGTTATATTGGATACCCTTGTGTCACTGTATAAATAGCAAAATTTTAGTAAGTTTACAGAGTTGTTATATTGGCTACCCCTGTGTCCCTGTATAAATAACAAAATTCTAGTAAGTTTACAGAAGTGTTATATTGGCTACCCCTGCGTCACTGTATAAATAACAAAATTCTAGTAAGTTTACAGAGGTGTTATATTGGCTACCCTTGTCACAGTAAAGTCTTAAAGCTCTGCTGTGGTATCTCTTATTTTACTTTTAATGAAGTACTTCATTCACTACAATAAGGTGAAATTGTGTTATCTTTAATGCAAACAATAATTCTTAATGTTGATAACATATTGGACTGCAAGTTAAAAAATACGAGTTAAGATAGAAGGAATTGTAAGTGTCAGAAACTGAATGAGACTGCATTACTGTGCTATTTTTTGTATTAATTTACGGTCTTTGTGATAGGTAATGCATGGGGGTTTATTCAAAGATGACACAACAACTCTAGATGAAATTAGGCAGCTTCAAAGAAATCGACAACCTCCTGAAAGTGGTACAGTATTGTTGTTTTTAAATTCTCAAGGCATCATAACATGTAAATTAGTTAAATTTCTATGCTTTTATTCAATGTTACTTTATGTAGTACATGTACCAATATATGTTAATTTTAAATTTATATCATGTCATTAGTTTCCTATCTTTCCTGTCTTCTTTTTCTATCTGCTTTCTGTTTTGGGCGGTGTCTCCCATCCTCATATTCCGTCTTTGCTTATTGCAGAGTTAGCTTCTCTTTGGAGCAGGTATTAATTGTTACGTCACTTGTTTGTGAGAGTAACGTTATCAATTTTTGAGAAAACGACGTAATTTTCTCACACAAACCAATGACGTAACAATCAATACCTGCTCCCAAGAGAAGATAACTCTGCAATATGCAAAGACTGAATATGACACTGGCTGTTGTCTCCCTAGGTACCCATCCTCATATATGACACTGGCTGTTGGGTCTCCCTAGGTACCCATCCTCATATATGACACTGGCTGTTGTGTCTCCCTAGGTACCCATCCTCATATGACACCGGCTGTTGCGAGGACATTAAATCTCAAACAAACAAACAAATCTATCATATCAGTATTTATTTATTAATTTATTTATTATCATTTGTTAAGATAGAGAGTCGTAGTGCAGTGTAGTATCTTCATTGAAGAAGACTTTCAAATATGATAGGCATCTGATTTAATGTTGCTTGTCAATTTACTACAGTATAAGAAAGAGTTATATATAAAAGAAATACATATTTAATCATAACGGAAAACATATATATAAGTACAATTTTTTTTGTGTGAAATTATCTTTGTAACTGTGATTTGATACCTGATCCTCTTGTTTAAAAACAGGGAGCTTTACCACTGCATTAGCAGTTTTTTAGGTCACCTGAGACAAAGTCTCAAGTGACCTATTGCGATCGCCTTTTGTCCGTCGTCGTCCGTCGTGCGTCCGTAAACAATTTACATTTTTGACTTCTTCTCCAAAACCCCTGAACCAATTTCAATGAAATTTTGCAGGGACCTTCCATGGACAAAGGTCAACAAAAATAGTTGCCGGTTTAGTCCTAAGCCCCCAGGGGCCTGAGGGGCGGGGCCAAAAAGGGT